CTTGCTCCAGTCCAACGCTCCAGCAGCCCAGAATTCGATGGTGATCCACCCCAGACAGCTCTTCAGGGTCTTCAAGTCATGACCTGCCGCATGCACAGAGACTCGGGATAGGCACAAAGTCGAGTTCGATCAGGCGATTGGTGTTCAAGTAAGCGTCGAATGAGCAGCGCAATGAGGATGTGAAGTGCAGTGGTGAAATTGTGAATCGTCTCCGGTCACACGGTGACTGGATGGGCCAAAGCTGGGGGAGCACTGTCTCATCACCAATTCGACCACACTACCAAGACAAAGGGGATGAATGACGATATGGGTGCGATGATGATGCCAGAGGAGACGAAGTGGTGAGACGAGAGCAAAGAGGGAACCGAAGGGAAGAGAAGGGAGGCGGGAGGGAGAGCAGGAGAGACGCGGGAAGGGAAATGGACGGTTGACGCAGGCGGCAACTGTCAACTCAACCGCCAACCTCTGCAGCCGCCGGATCTGTCAGAAGAGCGATGAAGCCATTGCGTCAAGTCCGCAACCGTCTCCTGCCATTCCGAATCTCCCTCCCATTTAGGTTCACAAAATTACGCAGTGATTTTTCTCGACAACCCATATACCGGTACCATTTCTGTCCATCATCGCACCGCTCATAGCACTACTGCAGAGACCTGCTCCCGCTTTCAGGACTCTGACCGATATAATTTGAGCACCCGAAATGCGTCTACCGATCCTCTTCTTACTCGCCTTCGTCGCCGCAGTATTCGCCCTGCCTCCACCGCAGAAACCTGTTGTGGTGTCCTTTCCGGCCAACACTCCATCTTCCATCATTGACAAGGCAATTGCGGAAATCGAGAAAGATGGTGGTATCATAACGCATGAATATTGTGAGAAGTTATTCCTTGACGCCGCTTCGGCCCTTTGCCGGGGCTACGCTGACTCTGTGACAGCCCTCATCAAAGGATTCGCAGCCAAAGTTTCAGAAGTCACACTCGATAAAATCAGTGCACTGGCTGAAGCGTATTCGCCATATATCGAGGACGACTACGTGGTCAACATTGACGGCTCAACGAGCTCCGCTCAATAGAAGGATGAATCTCGAATAGGGAGATGCACATATGACGAGGTGTTCTGGATCATGAATGGAGATAATATCACGAACTGAAAGCAACGAAATTCTGAGTACGATGGCATGATTGGTGTGAAGGCAATTTTCCTGTTGGGCCGCCATGTTGTTGGGAGGCATTGTACGGAGTCATAGAGCACTGAGTACCTCACTCGCTAGAGAAATCATTGATAATTCAAAAGTATTCAACTGCTCCATATCATGGATATTGCCTCTCCTGTCTCTGTACTAGATCTGGGGAAAAGTGTCAAATGCTCATGGGGTGATATTGTTGACGAGAACAATGAACGGGTCGACGTCATGGTGTTGATTCCCTCGTGCCTCTCTGCCTCCACAGCCTCCGGCGGAAGTAACGCGCCCCAAACGTTTTTCGCGTCTTCACTATTCCTCATCCTGAAACCATGGGGCCATTCATTGTGTTTGGACCCGTCACAGCTCAGCAGTCAGTGCAATAATGAAATGCTATCAACATAAACATATTCCTCTCCCATGGCGACCGAAGAAGCCATTGCTGCCGGGCTTATCGACTGGATCAACAGTCTCGCAGTCGCGGACCCAGTGTACACTGTAGACGACTTCACCAATGGCGACCTCATATGGAAGGCTCTTCGTATGTTTGAGTCTTTGCAAAGATCGCGCAAGTTCTCTAACCTCTTCCAGAGCAAATCGACCGCTTTAGCTTTCCTGGTAAACTTCCAGAAGACCCCGAAACTGATCAATGGATCAACAAGTGGACAAATCTCAAACACATTTACGATGCGCTCTCCATCTTCCTCGTCGAGGAATGTGGGCAACGACTGCCTCTCCCTGGTGGTCGCCCTGACCTGAAGGCTATAGCCCAGTCCTCCTCTCTCACAGACACCGTCGCTCTCCTGAAGCTCCTCGTGGTGGCGGCTATCAATTGCGCCGACCGAATTGACTACTTGAAGCAGATGCAGGAGCTGGCAGAGTCAACTCAGGAAGTTTTGATGCAGACAGTGCAAGAGGCGGGAGAAGATGGAGCGGAAGCTGACGAGGCTGGTGTGGAAGACCTGAGTGATCAAGTTCATGAAGACCTTCTCAGCTCTCCTCGTCGTTCTACAGAGATGGAATCCGTGCTTGAATCAGAAGAGAGACTAGGCAAAGTTATCGCCGACAACCAGCGGATAGCCTACGAGAAGCGGGAACTCCAGAAACAGCTCGACGAGTCGTATTCGCGCTACGAGAAACTGCAAGAGCGTTTCATCCAAGCTCAAGATGACCTGAAAGAGTCCAACGACCGCTTAGCTGCCATTCTCGCAGGGAAGTCTGATATTTCGAACCGGCCACTGGACTCCAAACATGACACCCTGATCGCCACTTTAGAGAATCGGGTACTCGAGACCGAATCTGAAGTGGAGGACCTACGGAAGAATAACGAGGTTCTCAAAATCAAGGCTGAGAAGGCCCAAAAGCTGCAGGATGATTACGATGAGATGAAGATCGAACGAGATCGTCTGGCTCGGAAGGCAAATACTGCGGAGAAATACAGACAGAAGCTGGAAGCCAGCCAGGACCTTGAGAAGGACAACACGAATCTCAGAGCTAAGGTGACGGAGTTGCAGAATCAACTAAAGCAGTCCGACTTTGCTCAGGCGAGCTCGAGTGATTTGCATCGAGAGATTGACGAATACCGTCGGCTCCTACCTAGCATTGAGCAAGAAAGATACGAGTTAAACGAGATGAAGAAGAGGCTCGAATTTGATTACCACGCACTTGAAGCACGGTATCATGACACTGTTGAACAGTTATCTCGACAGAATCATGCTTTGGAAGACTTACAAAGCAGACTGCGCGACTACGAAGAGGGCATCCCCACAGCACCAACAGAGGAAAGGGCCCCAGACCCGGTCAACAAAGACTTTGAGAAAGAAGAAGCGGAATTTGCCGAGTCAGAAGCCCGTCTCGCCGCTGCACTACTGAATGGAGGCACCACCTCTCCAAAGGCGAATGATACAGATCTTGTCTTTCCGAGGGACGCAGAAACAACCATCCCTGGCCTTGAAGACAAGGAGAGCATCTCTGAAGATGAGCTGAAAGCAATCATGTCTGCTATGCGTGCGCAGGCACAAGCCGGAACTGCCACGGAGCGAGAATCGTCCCTGCGCGCGCAAAAGAAGCTGATTGGCGCAATCGAGCAGCAAAGGACCAAGAACAAGCTCCTACTCGCGCACGTACAAAAACAGGACCAGACGATTAAGGACATGCAGAGGAAGATCCAACGTGAAAGTGAATCTCAAGAAGCTGAAAAGGATGTCGTACCTCCTCCCGTGCCAAAAGGCACGGCAGCTAACTCTTCCTACTCGCTAGATGAGGAATCCGAAATTGAACGACTCATAAAACAAAACATTATTCTTCAACGCGAACTCAAACTCATGGCTTCGGCATGGTACGATCAAAATCTGCGGCTTGCGAGCACGAGCTCTGCTGCGTCGGGACGGAGTCGAGGAATCGGTAATGCTGGTGAGCCGCGAGGATTTCTGGGACGGCAGAGGCGGAGGGTTGACGCTGTCGCCTTTGGAAAAATATTATGAAAGAAATTACTTAGCGGAGGGATAGGTATGGAACACCCTGCTCTTGAAGGGCATTGCGCTCAGATACAGGACTATACGACAGGATTGAATGATGAGACAGTTTTCACGCATCCTCAGCGTTCACGTTCATGGAAGTTGGTCCCACCATGCCCATTATTCCGGAGTAACAATTCCCCAAGCCTACGCTATCCAGATGAGGCACGTCAGGGTTTGTACTGACCACGCCCAGGTAGACAGGGAAGATATTGTGACCCTCGGCGTCACCGCAGCGGGAGAAGACCAACATGGTCAAGCAACAAGGCAAACGGGACTACAGCGTCTAAGAGAAAAGCGGCCTGCTCACCCACAATTATAGACGCCGGACATTGATATACCAAGGTTTCTCTATAGAACTACTTGCATTCAGCCTCGGGCCGAGAGATCATTTTAACACTTTTTACTACACAATCTACATCCATTTCGCAGACCTTGGTTTCTCGATTTGTTCCTGTCAGCTCCGCTGCGTCTCTTTACGCGCTGGACAGTTGGTCCCTGTGTTCGCCTTCCTACAAGAACAAATCAGAAATAACCCCCAGCCGACCGTGATTGGCAATAAGTGTTTTGATAACAATAGAAAGATCTCTTTACGTCTAATGTCCCATGCAGCCACGGTCGTTTCTAGAAGCGATATCGCACAGGATGCGATCGTCGAGACCAGGACTCCTTAAAAGACCTACAATTTTGGAGACAATCTAATGACAGGAAAATGGCTCTACTTTCACTTAACAACTGGATTGTTCTACATCCTGATCCGACAATGCTATAAATTCGGAAAAGATCATTGCTCCGCAAATGAGCATACGGACCGCTATCTTACGACGGTGCCTGGTCTATCACCCAGGTGCCTTCCAGCCAGCAACATTCGATCGGAAGGGAGGACAAAGCTCTATTACACCTATGTTCGATTGCTTCTGAGCCTCCTCAACGTGACGCACTATCGCTCGTATCTGTTATATCCAATTTGTTATGCCATCTATAGAAGTTCGCCACATATCTCAGCTCACCCTCGTTTGAAAAAGAAAGTCTTAACAGCCTCGTAGCACATTATCACTGGCCTTCCCGCGTCTCTATCCTTTGCAGCTCGCAGAACGCTGAGACCCAAAGACTTCACCTGATCGTGTGCCTCCGAGTTGTCAACCAGATCTTTCTACACGGCTGAGATGTCACTATGGAGATTCGAATGTCTTTGTCGGCACTGTGGCAATTACTTGAAGACGGAGATTAGAGCTACCCCGGATTCGCTTCGTCTTAACGTCCCATGGCGCAGTTCCAAAGTCCACAAGACGGCCAAGCACAAGGACAAATTAGATGTTGACGATATCTATGTCTACGAGTTCGACTTCGTCGGAGAAATCGACCGGTGTCTGCGGGATTAAGCAATGAGTAGCTCCAATGGCAACCTTGAAGAAGATGGCGATATCGATACAGAAAACGATGCGGGCGAAGAAGGGGGAGACAGCGAGGACGAAGCCTCGTCCATGCAACAGCACTAGTACCGAGCTCTCTCGGAAATCAACACGCTCTGATGCAGTCTCGCCTTTAGATCCCATGGATGCAGACACAAGAATCTCCTCGACTTCAAGCTTGCTTGACTGGGCGAGCCTTGACAGGCAGAGGGACTGTTCTTCCCCTTCCTCCGGAGTGATTTGGTCAGATCCCCAGGCTACAGAGACTCCACCGAGGGACTCGCTCAGCCTGGCCTCCTCAAGTTCTTCAGATGACACACGATCCGTCTTCAGCGACAACACTGTTATCAGCAGTTTGACGATCCGAGATGATGGATCTGCCGATGAGGACGACTCTCGAATTTGTCGCCGACGATGTCTTGACCTCGAGGACATGGAAGACTAGAGCATTGATGGGTGCGGAAATCTATGGCCGAATGATATTTTGAGAGGTGCCGCTGCTATTTTGATCAGTCGAAGCGAGCGACAGAGGCGATAAGTGCATTGTCCCATGCTAGTCAGCCAGGGATGCTCTTTTCCTTTTGGTGTGGGAATTATGGCCTTTTCCATGGGATATATGTAGTTGTAAACTGCACTTGCTAGGCCTTGGCTGACGGATTGGAGCTGCTCCGTTAATCGGCCTGCTTCTCCAAACCACCAGCATTCTAATAAGTGTGTAAACTCCATCGAGTTATCTTGCGGGGAAGTCGAAAGGAGGGCTCATTGTCAAAACCAAGCGCCCGAAGCCCTGCCATTGATCTAAGATTACAGCCTGGGTCAACCTGTACCGCAACAATCTGCAAGAAGGTTTGATTTAAGGATGGGCTCATCAAGTAAACAGGAGGTCTACGTGACAGTATCTGCCCTCGAGGCAGGACAACTCACTCTGCCCGAACGTCTGTTCATCACCCATGCCGACCCCGACAAGAAAGCCACCGTTCCTTCTTTGTCGTTTCTGATACAGCACTCTTGTCCAGATGGCAAAGTTACCAAGTTCGTCTTCGACCTGGGGCTCAAGCGTGATCTATCGAAATACCCGCCCGCACAACAAGCGCATATTGCCAACCGTCAACCCACCATCCTCCACCCAGACTGCGCCGACAGTCTGCGCGCAGGCGGCCTCGATCCGGCCAAGGATATTGACATAGTCATGCTATCACACGTCCACTGGGACCATGAGGGCACTCCGGACGATTTTCCCAACTCTCAGTTTGTCGTTGGCTCCGGCACACTGCATTTACTGAAGAATGGAGCGCCGCCTCACTATCCAAAGGAGATCTTCAATCCAGATCTGCTACCCCAAGATCGGACGTCCGAGCTCCCGCCAACAAGCAACGAAAGTACCACCGCCGCGAAGTCACAGACGAAACATACATGGAAACCCTTCGCGGGATTCCCCCATACAATCGACTTCTTTGGCGACGGCAGCTTATACGTCGTCGACTCTCCAGGACATTTGTTTGGACACGTCAACCTTCTCGCACGTCTCAGTCACACGAAGTGGGTATACTTGGGTGGTGATTGTTGTCATGATCCGCGCATCTTGACGGGTGAAAAAGACATTGCGCTGTATGATGATGGACACGGCGGGTTGAGGTCCGTACATGTGGATACGGAGAAAGCGAAGGCAACTCTGGAAAAGATTGGACCGTTATTAAAGAAGCCGTGTCCCGTGTTTGAAACCGCAGCGAACGGAGAGCAAGTGGAGGTGGAGGTGATTGTTGCCCATGACAAGGGGTGGCGGGAGGGGAATAAGAACAGGTTCTTCCCTGGAGCTCTGTAAAGGAATCTGGGGAGATGTGTTCCGTAATAGAGTCTCAAATATAGGGACCGGGAGGCTTTGATCCCAGGTTGTCAAATGGACGATCAACGCCTCAGAAATCGTAGCTACAGTAGGCCCCTTTTGTTACTGCTCACGTCTCCGTCCCATCTCCCGCCGTGTGTCTGAGCCTGGTCGCGTTATTCTTCCGCCTTCCACCCTATGGGAGAAGGAATGAAGGCAAAGGATTACATGACGGTGTGTCTCCTGTCCGTCTCTAAGTGGGAGCATTCATTGCTAGATAATGCAGGTCACGCATGGGCGCGAAAACAGTAAGCAAAGTGACTTGAGTGCCATCGACAGCACACAGCTTCCTTGCCGGGCGAGTTTTGGATATGGCTAATCTACGTCTTTGACATTCAGCGCTGCATGAGGAGATCCTTGTGCTCACTGCTCAGTCCCTAACAGCCCCCCCGCCCCTGAAAATCAAGCCTTGTGAACCACCGTGTCAGCTCCAAAAAAGGGAGTGTTGGGGGAATTTGACACTTGTTCCCCTTGGCCCACCCCTGATACCTCTATTCTCTGACTTTTGGTCGATGAATCCAGGACGAATCTTCTGTCCATCCCCATCAGAGACCATCTTTCACGGGTTCGGTGTTCGAACATGTCTTGTGCCTCGATATTGGAGAAATATTCCCCAACCCCACAATCACGAAGGCTTTGCAAGCCTTTGACAGCCTCGGCTGATCCTCCAACATTGTCAGTCCCCCAACCCCGACATTCTCTTGTGCGGTCCCTTTCTCCAACCACATCGTTCCACTGGAAAAACGGAGTTTTGTGGCAAAGCCGTGGCTGCCCCCAGGAGCATACTTTGTTACATTTCAATACGACGCATCCGCATCGCATTTGCCGCACAGCGATCCATTCCATTGGAGTCTTCTCGGCCTCGACTCCGAGGAGCGGAGTGGTCCAGTGTCGGTGCCGAAAAGGGCCAAAAGCATGTCGACGACACGTTTTGATCGTCTTAGACCACCATCTTGCATAATCCGTAGAGCGAGACGAGGCTGACATACATTGTCGCAAGTAAAACAGGAAAACCGCTTCAGTGGCTCCCAAGTACAACAATATCACCAGAGACAATACGGCCTGATATAGCGACATCATCGACAACATGTCTTCTCCACAGGATACTGTCGCGTTCATCGGTAAAAGAGTCCCGCTACTTCAATTTGGTCATCATGCACCTCTCCTAAGAACATTCTCATAGGCATCGGCGTCATGGGCTACTCCATGGCCGTAAACCTGCGCGCCAAACTGCCCTCCACCTCGACCCTCCTGATCTGCGACGTCTCGCAAGCAGCGCTGCAGAAATTCCAATCCGAAAACTCCTCCAAAGGCCCCATCGAGGTCGTGTCCAACGGCTATGAAGCGATCAAACAAGCCAACACCTTGATAACCATGCTCCCTACAGCCGCATCGGTAGAGAAAGTGTATCTAGACCCGGAAACAGGGGTGATTCAGGGCGCCATCGACGCCTCCAAGAATGGAGCACCCCAGAAGAAGCTTATAATGGAATGCGGCACGATCGAAACGGGTACTATCTTAAAAGTCGCAGCCGCGACAAAGGAGGCCGCCCCGAAACTCGCCCCGGGAGCAACGCTCGACTTCGTCGACGCCCCCGTCAGCGGTGGACCCATGGGCGCAGAGGCGGGAACCTTGACGTTCATGGTCGGTGCTACGACCAAAGATGCCTTCGAGCGGGCAAAGGAGTATCTCCAGCACATGGGTAAGAAAGATAGTATATTCCATTGCGGCGACGTCGGTGCAGGGACCGCATTTAAAGTGATCAATAACTACTTGTCTGCAATCACAAGTCTAGCGGCAAGCGAAGCATTGAACATCGGCTCAAAGATGGGCCTGGATCTCAAATTGCTCACTGACGTGATCAACGTCAGCGGCGGACAATGTTGGGTCACTTCTCAGTCGAACCCTGTCCCGGGAATCCATGCGAACGCCCCGGCGAGTCGAGGCTACGAAGGCGGCTTCCGGATCGAACTGTGCAAGCACGTCTTGGAGATGGGATCCTCGTTGGCGGAAATGGTGGGCGCGAGGACCATCCTGGATAAACCTACTTTGGCAGCATTTGACGAGGCTATGACGGATCAGAGGTATAAGGGCAAGGATGCTCGCGTTGTTTACAAGTGGTTGAACGATCAAGGGCGGTGAGGGAAGGAGGTCGATGGAGAGATGAATGAGGCGGAATTTCTCAACCGAGACCAGAACAAGCAAACTGAACCTGATAAAAGTTCCATGTCATCCGCATTAACGTCGCTGTTATTCTCCACATTCGTCAGGGTCCGGAACCAGCACCCGGTGCTCTGCTATGGCGTGCCACCTCACAGGTTCAGGTCGCTGATGTTATCATTAACGGCGAAGAACGCCTGATGAGCTTATCAGCACACGGGTGAATGACACTATCATTTTGAGGGTGGATTAAGCCAGAGGCCTGCTTCGGCAGTATTCGGGTCGAGTCAGGTTATCGGTCCTCCCTGGTCCCAGCATCTGTTGCTACCCTCGTCTCGGATTGCCAGTCGTAGCAATCGACTGGTATAAAATGATACGTAGTGCTTGGAGTGCCACCGTACAGTCTCGCGCGTTCTCAGAACACCCTGGCATAAGGGGAAATGCCATCAACGGGCAATCTAAAATCTCGGGCCACATCCATCCTATACGGGAAAGCCGGTCACCTCTAGGGCTCAACCCCATTCCCGGTCTTTGCTGCAGTCCCAGCCTCATCGGATTTAGACCAAGATAGCGTTCCTTACACAATCAAGGCTCGGGGTAACTGATATAGGCCCGAGGTACAATGATAGGATGAGCCGACAAGCCCTCGGTCAGATCTAGGATTCCCACAGCTATTTAAGCTGGGATAAGCTCGGCGTGTCGTGCGTCCCGAATGAGACTTGAGGTGCGAAGCGGCAACTGGCGGCCTTTCCAGGCAATCCCACATATTCTTTGTCGAATTGATGCAAAGAAGGCAATGCACCACAACGAATGCTGTCACGGAAATGTAGGATCGCAACAGGCTGCTGATAACTTCAATGACAAAGTCACAGCCCAGACTCTCAGCAGGCTTGCTTCACCCTGCTTCTAACATATCAGCGTAGATGTTGAGGCTCGTCCCAATGACATCGACAATTGCCCACGTCTGAGCACCGCGGAACACCTGGGCCCACACCCTCAGTACACCCGCGCTGAGATATTTCATTGCAGCAGGTGAGTCGATAGCCACATCCACAGGCATCGCAAACTCTGTCTCGTCCAGCATCGTCTTGACCAAGGTCGCTATTTTTTGCTCGTCATTCGTTATCGCAGGACCCGACTCTGGCAGGCTCAATGCTTCCAGCCATTTACTTAGCAGAAAAGCACACTCCAACGTGCACAAAGAATGTTGAATTGACCACATGAAGGTTTGCGTCTGTGCAACGAGATGGATACCAATCTTGACTGGAATACTTAGAGCATGAGCAGAGTGCAGGACGGCTCGGACGAGCTTCGGTGTCCGCTTGACAGAAGGGCTGTCTCGAAAGGCATTGGCAATCTGAACAGGGTCGCGAGTATCCAGTGCCCGTCCGGGTCCCAAGTCAACGTTGAGGCGGATATATGCGAGGCGCAGGAGCGCGGTAGAGTTGAATGTCACTGGCCCATTCGGATTCATCGGGTCCAGCGATGATTCGGGATTCCGTTTCCACGCCAACTGCCAATTCCTCAAGGCCTGCTCTATGGCAGCGACGTCGTCAGATCGTAAATCGCCATCGTGGTCAAGGCGATATCTCGAGATCTGGCGGACGAAGAAAATATGTTGCAAAAGTGCATGAACGAGAACATAATTCCCCAGTGAAGAGTTATAGGTGCTCACATCGTTGCCGCTGCGAGAGAACAAGCGATGCAAAGCTGTCTGAAAGCTGGTTTCAGAGGTCGATCGGGCTCGCAACTCTTTCCATTTTGCTGCTGTTGGCGCTTTGAACTCGGCAGCGTTGCACGGTAAGGTGAGGTCAACTTCGGAGGCAAGGATAAGCGAAGGAACATTGTAAACGATGGTGTGCAGGTTGAAGAAGCAAAAGACAATGAACTTGGTGCGTTTGGTCGTCTCGCGTCGAATCCAATCAGTCCAGCTAATATCTTCGGGCATTGGCTGACTCCTGAACCCATCGTCCCTCACCAATGTCGCCAGGACACTCTGTATTGCGAGCGCCTCGCGAAGGATTTCCCGGTGTTTAGCCCAAGTTGCCATCGCCATGAGCAAAAGTAACGCCTGTGCGGTTTGCATCAGATCTTCTCTCTGCAAGCCAGATTCGGAATCTGGCTGAGATGGTAAACCCAGGCATCCTGACAAGGAACCACTGCGCGGTGTTTCTCCCGTCGCCAAGTCGCTAGATTTCCCATGTCCGGAATATTGAGGTGATACCTCTGCCGAACGGTGGGAGGCGGCTAGTCTGGCATCTCTCTGGCGAATTCGTTGCATGGCTATTGATTGACTGACGGAAAAGAGCTCGACTCCTTTTTGTCCCTCAAAGCAATACTGTGCACCGACCGCTGCCATGGCTAAGATGAGCTCGATGCAGCTATTATTTACAGATAAGGTAGGGATGTGAAGGAAAGGCAGATGTTCATGGAAACCATTGACGTAGCCGGCCAGATATCTTGATAATGCTAGCCGAGACGGGAGCTGAAAGGTGTTAGGCACCACATGGGCGAACTCAGCGAGTTTTAGGGCGACGTTTTGCCGGTCTTCGATATTGATGTCGGCGAGCGGACGATGGATGCTGTTTTGCTCGCTTTGCGGCGCCGAGGGGCTCTCTTCTGGTTGCAATGATGGTAGACGGGACCCAAACCGTGAGAATGAGCCTGAATCTTCGGGGTGATCGGGGTTAGGAAGCGCACGAGACACAGGGCGCGAGACCGGACGAGGCTCGGCGGTTGGAAGCACGTCGGCCGTGTGGGTGAAGGACTCAGGAGAGAAGAACGGTATGGGCTGTTCAGCACTGATCATCGACGAAAAATGGTAGGAGGATAGAGCACCGTTGTCCATGAAGTTTGCAAGATCTTGAAGTGAATCCTCGAAGTCGAATCCCACAATGCCATTGACCTGGTCGGCCGGAGCTGACATGGAAGCTTGAGGTGTTGGGTCGGGCAGGAACTGGTCTTGAACAGGGAATATTGGCGTTGCGAGAGGGTTTGGCTGTCGCAGGGGAGCGTGGGCTTGGGCATCCTGAGGCCGAGCATGTTCCGCAGCCATGAGCAATGTCGCAAAGGAAAGGTCATGGCCATTCGGTGTACCGCTCGTAGTCTGATTCGAGTTCGTAGGCAAGTAGTTGGGGACAAGATTTTGAGAGGGATTGAAGTCGGTCGTGCTCGTGCTGGGAGCGTCGGGGAGATCTAAAGCGTGGTGGTCGTGGTCGTCGGTGTTCCGTCTTTTTCGACCTGTAGATGATGATGTTGAACTGACGGCACCAGCGCCCTGGCCGCTTCGGCCATTCCTTCCCCATCGTTCCGTATCGTGACTGAGTCTCTCATGTCGAACCAGAAGGTCACTCGATCAGTGTCAGCTGCTAGTGTTCCACGCGACCGGTGAGGTAACTGGTTACGATACCTTCTTGTGAACTTGCTGTCGCATTGATTACAGGCGAAAGGCTTCTCTCGAGTATCTGATCAGCGGTCAGGAAGGGCGCGCGTACGGAACTATAGGGAGACGGAGAGCCATACGGGTTCGCTCATGCCGTTGCAGATGCTCTAGTCGCGCAAAAAGCCTCTGGCAATGTCTGCACTGGAATCTTTTGGGTTTTTTGGGGGGCGGTTCCTGACTCCGGTCTTCCTCCAACTCCGGGCCGTCAATCTCGGCATTGATTTTGTCTTCGATCATGGGCTCAAGAGCATCTCTACCAGGGACTATGAATAGATCCTAGAGCCAAGGGCGAAGCGACGCGGGAAAGCCCAAAGAGGTATCTGGACAAAGATCTCGAATAGCTTGGGTGATGGGAATGAAGCTCTGGGGGAAATTCTGGGGTGGCTGTGGAGGGATTGGTGTGGCAGAAGGCGGTGGCCGCCTCGCTGCATGTGCACACCGCAGGCGAGTAGGCGAGCAGGTTGCAGGGCTCAAGATTCGCCACAGTGCAAGAAAACATGGAGCTAGTGGGCGAACAGGCCACATGCTGCGGGGCTCACCCAGGCTCCCCGTTCGAAGCCAGTAGAAGGCTTTAGGCGCGCCGAAGGGTGAAAGGAGGTTTGGATGACTGGATGCCGAGACTGCTAGGCGCAACCCTCCCCCCCAAAGTAACCCTTATTGAGTACCAAACCTGAGAGAAACAGGGGGGGCACTCCCGGAACCAACCTGGAGCATGAGAGCCTCAAAGAGGGAAGCGATTCGCTGCGGAACCCAGCACGTTTCAGCTGCGATGAGAGAGGCGACGGCTGTCCGCCGTTCTCGGATCAAACCAACAACTTGCTCCCTGCCGAGGCCATTAATAGCCCCTTCAGCCTCCTCATCACAGACCTGGCGAGCAGTGACAACTCCACACTGTCGAACAGCGACACGACATCCAAGGTATGTCATCCGTTGATCTCAAGTAAAGTGTGCTCTCTGCGTACCAACAGAAGATCTACGTCCCAGAAAAGGCTCTTCAAGAGCTCACAGACCCTATCAAGTCTACGTTTACTGGGGACAGCTGTCACCGACTTCGTCTGCCGACTCACGGGTTCCAGCCAAGATCTAGCTAGCGATGTGGAACACGGGAGGATCTTTAGCAGGATTGTTCACCTTATTGGAGAAGCATGAAAACATGCCGAAACTCCTTTTGGCCATGCCTCTTACCCCAACGGCCACCCTCCAGCAAGTGGGACCATGGCTGGTATCCGATCTTGGTCAACATCGATCTTGCCTAAAGTCCTAAAGAGCTCCTCAAGTCATGCCAACAGCGCTGCGTATTCTTTCGATACAGTTCTCGAAGCTGCAGCGGCGGCATGTCTTCACCGTATCCGAACCAGGCGCCGCCATCACCGCCAGAGAGCCCCTCTGAAGCCACCGTCCAAGTCTACGCTCTTTCGGCTGGTCATTTCTCGCTTCCGGAGCGTTTCTTTGTACATCCAGCCTCGCAGACCGCCCGGAGAATCGTTCCCTCTTTGTCTTTCCTGATAATCCATCAAGATCAAGAGACGGGCCAAACAACACGCATAGTTTTCGACCTAGGTCTCCGTCGCGACACCAATCGATACTCACCACCGATTCGGAAACATGTCGAGACGAGACAGCCCATGACAACACTTCCCGATGTGACTGCCAGTCTCGCTGCGGGCGGACTGACACCCGACGACATTCATTATGTCATCTACTCACATGTAAGTCTCACGCACTCAAGGTCTCAATGCTCGTCTGACGAAGGAGCCACCAGGTCCATTGGGATCATGTGGGGGAACCTCGCGACTTCACCAAAAGTACATTTGTGATCGGGAGCGGTGCGAATGCTTTGCTACAAGGTCATGGGTCATTACGAGGAAGTCACTCATTCTTCGAATCCGATTTGCTACCCGCTGAAAGAACAATTGAGCTTTCCAATCCCTACGAGGATATAGAGGAAGAAACCAAGAAACAAAGCTTAGATTCCTACGGTCCAGACTTTATCCAAGAATGGAGGGCTTACGGGAACTTACCTCGAGTCCTCGACATATTCCGTGACGGCAGTCTCCTCATCGTTGATGCCCCAGGTCATCTTCCCGGCCACATTAACCTGCTGGCACGGACTGGCCCTACAAGCAGCGTCTACTTGGCTGGAGATGCGTGCCATGATAGGCGGATTATGAGGAACGAAAGACAGATCGGGGAGTGGCTTGACGAACATGGACATATATGTTGTATCCACGCGGACAAGAAACTGGCGGAGCAAACCATTGAACGGATCCAAACTCTGGAGTCGAATGGAGTCGAGGTGATCTTTGCGCACGATTTTGAGTGGGAAGAGGATCCAGCAAACCAATCGAGATTCTTTGGAAGCTCTTGAGTTTCGCGGATTTTGTTTGAGTGTTGCCACCCTAAGCAAGAGCTTTCAATTACATTGATATCTTCTATTACAACCATAGCACTGTGGCGCAATCCCGCGAAACTGCCAACCTATCTGCCCTTTCCCTTTTGTCCACTGTTGTCCTGGTGCTTAACGAGGCTCCACGGAGAATCAGCCTAGCTGCCCGAGGCATTGGTAGTGGGGGACATGGCATAATAAAACTCGTACCTAGGTACCTAAAGGGCTCGACGGGTAGTTGAAACAGGAAAATTGTCTTTCCCCACACACTGCAGATTGAGCAACTCTCGGTCCAAACTCCGCGCTCGATCTCCAATTCTTCCTGAGCGCCAGGCTCTTAGCAAACCGAAAGAGAACTGCGTTGCCTGTGGGACTTAATTGCAGTGAACTGGTAGGTGCTTTTGATATCGTACTTTTGTCTTCCTTGAGTGAAACCGGCCCATAGACAGAAAGACATGGCGCCGTCAAAAGAGCCCACAGAATTGAAGCATTCGTCTCTCAACTAGGCTTGAGCAATGGGATGAATCCTGGGAGAGCATCGCAAAGCTCGGCCTGGAGTTGTTCGAAGCCAGCGTCAACCTCATCGCCGTACCAAAGAAGAAGAAATATCTGTCTCCCAAGATCCAGGAACTCATGTGGATCGCTGTTGATGCTGCTTCAACTCATCTCTACGTTCCCGGGATTTGCAAACATATTGATGCCGCCTTCAAAGAGGGGGCAACTCCAGCTGAGATAATTGAGGTGATTGAAAAGACGGGTACATTGGGCATCCATGCCTGAACATCGGGGTCTTTCAAAGAGGAGGGCATATATGACACACACGATACTGTCGGCAAACCTTTTGATGAGAAGCGAGAGAAGTTGAAAGCAGACTTTACGAAGAACAGAGGGTGCTGGCATCCTTTCTGCGAGGATTTCCTAGCGCTGGATCCGGAATTCTTTCAGGAGTATTTGAATTTCTCATCTGTACCCCAGCTGAAGGATGTAGACAGCTCGGGTAAAGGGTGTGGCGGGTTGGAGCCCAAGGTCAGCCCTTCCTCCTTCTAGCAATCGTGTGATCGGATCTAACTAACTGATTGACAGGTAAAAGAGTCCGTATACTGCGCGTTCGATGCTGCCGCTACCCACCTTTATGTCCCAGGATTAAAGTTGCACATGAAAAAGGTCCTGAAGTATGGCGGAACACTGGAAGAAATCATGGAGATTTTGGAAATTGCAACTCAGCCCAGTCTGCATACGTCGAATTGTCGGTGCGCCCATCCTGGCAGAACGATTGGACAAATCATGACCAGGATGAGCGAGGGCCGCCAACAGAGTCGCACTGTGAAGACGTCTCAGTAGCATCCATACCCAGATGCACATATCCAAAATCTAACGATGGCAGAAGCTGATTCCACTTCTACGCTCTCAAGACGAGCTTCGGCAGACAGCCCTAAGCGACCATCGCTCAGTCGCCAACCTTCTCCAACGACCTGTCCAGCAGGTAAATGCCGATTGGAGAAACCCCAATCTCCGCATCCTTCATGGCATGGACGCTGCGGTTACATCGACCGTTGGCAGCTAGCGCCCTCACCGACAGACTTGCGGCATTGCCGATCACTAAGCTATACCTCCCTTGTGCTGGCTCTTGTCAGAGATTGGGCATGTCAGTAATCCGATTCTACCACCAATAGCACCAAGATGGCGTCTGCAGGCCATGACATGCTCCGCCTTGGCCACTGAGACGAAAGGCTATGGCCCTGCTCGAGATACATATCTCTCTCAGGCCATCAGGTTTCCTGCCCGGAATTTCTCCTGGTTGCTGTCGTCAATATCTCCTGTGCCTCGTTCCATTGCATCCGCTTGATCAGGAGATATCCACTCTGTTGGACATTCTACAAGGATTTTCCCCACGTGGCTTGATTCTGGACTCAATACCCCAACTTTGGGCTCGAAATCATAAGCAGGCCTCTGCGACAACAATCTCATCTTTCCACGCAGATACTGAGCCGTTCCCATATATGCGAAGCTCACTTCTTCAAATCCCTGCCTTATATTGTGTGAAAAAAAATTAAGGCAACATTACCATGGCAAACCCGACCGAGGAGCTCAAGCAGAAGGCAGAGATCGAGGAGTATGTTACCGATGATCGTTCAAGGGAGGTCATCGAGTTCGAGAAAAAGGAAGCCAAATTGCGGCGCAAGCTCGATCTCTACATCGCCCCGGTGATGATGCTTCTCATGCTCATCAGCTATCTTGATCGTGGCAACATTGGTTTCGCAGCCACCCAGGGCATGGCTGATGATATCGGTCTACACGGCAACCAGCTCAATGTAAGCTACCTCGTACCAGACCCTTTGTTCAGCTGACCGACCTCAGAGTAGACAGCGGTATCTATCTTCTACTGTACCTATGTGCTCGCTGAACTACCCACCTCGTTATTCGTCAAACGACTTCAGTTCAATCGAGTCATTCCCGTCATCACCTTTTGCTGGGGACTCGTATGTATGTGCATGGGGTTCATTCAAAACTTTGCTGGTCTTTGCGTCTGCAGAATCCTGCTGGGATGGTTTGAAGGGTACGTGGTTGACCTGATTCAAGTAATGAACCAACCTAATCTCTTCTGCTCTCAGTTGTCTGTTTCCTTCCATGACTCTTTTCTTGGCCAACTGGTACAGACGGGAAGAATTGGCTCAAAGGATATCCTATCTCTTCAGTTAGTATTGTGCTACGCTCCAACAGATACTCAATCTAACGTTATATAGTTGCGTCTGCGCTGTCTGGCGCCTTTGGCGGCCTTATCGCTTTCGGAATTCTGTACATGGATGGCGTTGCCAACTATCCGGGTTGGCGATGGCTCTATATTCTGGAGGGCCTCATCACACTTGTCTGGGCTGGGATGTGTGTATACCTGGTCCCAAAGAACTATCAGACCGCCTACTTCCTCAACGAGGAGGAGAAGAAACTCATGGCTGTCCGTGCAGAGCTATCCGAATCGTACTCTGGAGGTGACGGCCACTACAAACTCAATGATCTCAAGCTGGCCTGGAAAGACTTGAAGACCTGGTTGCATGGTGTCAGTCAGATTGCTGTCGTCACCATCCTCTACGGTTTCGGTACTTTCTTGCCTATCATCATCAAGAACGGACTGCACTACTCCACCAAGCAAGCTCAATATCTTGTCATTCCCGTCAACCTCTGGGGTGCGATTGTCTATGCTGTTGGCGCCGTCATCTCGGACAAATACCACAAGAGATTCTTGATTATGGTGGTTTGTGCTCCTATTGGAATCGCGGGATATGCCATCCTTCTAAAAATGGACGACGTTTCGGTGGGAGTTCAATATTTCGCAACCTACCTTATCGCCACGGCTTGCTTCCTTTGCACTGGAGGCAACATTGCCTGGCTGTCCGGCAATGTCGCGCCTGACGGGAAGAGAGCTGCAAGCTTGGGTAAGTCATTTCACAGTTCTATCGACAAGGTTCTTTGCTAAAGACACTGCTAGGAACCCAGCTCACTCTCACAAACCTGGGAGGTATCATCTCCGGCCAAATATACGCCTCCACAGACGCTCCAAGGTTCGTTCTGGGCCATTCCTGGTCCTTGGGCAGTCTGGCCTTCGCATTCATTGTGTTCAATATTCTACGCGTACTCTACCAGAAGCGTGAAGATCGGAAGGCGGAACTACGTGCCCAAGGCGTGGTCACCCCGCCTGAAGAGTTCACGGACAGATCGCCCGAGTTCAAGTATCAATTCTAGAGCGAGATATTGGCCGGACAATGAGACGTTGTGGGATCACCTGGAATGAGGCAAATTCTGTGGCGGCTGAAGGTTCGCAAAGGGCCAGAATGTACCAAGTACAAGTAGTCAAGATCCTTCTAAAGTATATTAACAGTCAGACCACATCCCCAAGAAGGCTTTTATTTGCTTCGTGGTGACCGACCGGGGATCCCCTTGTTCCAGATTCGATGCCAAGGAATTGATGGCCCTCCGTAATGACTGGTGGCAGTCTGTTCCTCATCGCCGAAAGGAACTCTTCAAAGAAGCGCCTCATCCTCTGAACCTATCCGTGGAACCTATGAAAATGCCTCAAGGCAGCGTCATTTTCAGCCGCATGGAGGCTTTTGCAAAGCGAATATAAAAGTCCGGATTCTCAGCTCGATCAATTAACCAGAGATGGTATTATTCCTGTGCCACCGCTCAAAAAAGAGCCGGGAACATGAGACTGGAATAGAGGGATTAAACGAATGTTCTGCAGCCCACAGAAGGCGTAATCTCCCTCACCTAGGCAGGCAACTTGTTCGGGTCCGGCGCAGCGGCACTGTGACCCAATCTGGGAAAAGTAAAGCTGATGATTCTCTCAAAGTCGGGGGCCTTCTCGTGTGTCCAAGCCCCGACGGATCTGTGGCCAACAGGGAATGTGCCAAATCCTCGAGAGTCGATCACAACCTCCCTGTCTTCCCAGCCGAGAATATCTCTCCACTTCTCGCCAATGTGCCTATGACCCACAAACATCCTTTTAGACCTCCTGTCCCAGCTATTGGTCATGATGACAGCGAGGCCGGCTCCGTTCGCTTTGGACTTGTGGCCCAGTCGGGTCCAGCCAATGCAGTCTTCCAAATCGAGATAGTCTCTTTGCGGGCCATGTGCGTAGAGTTTCCTCGCGGCGATGAGTCGCACAAGCTTGCCACCGCATGCTGGAAGCCGAGGTCGAGGCCCATGGTTGCCAAAGATGTCTCCCCAGAATACGCAAGGAATCCCGCCGTCGTAGCGAAGGAGAATCAGCGCGTAGGCCAGAGGTATGAACCATTCCTCGACAGGTGCAGCCAGAGCCTGCGTTTCTTGTGTGTCGTGGTTCGCAACAAAGGTCTGAAGCGCACATATCAGATATGCAGAGTTCAAAACAGCCGGCGCAAGGCGAGGCCCCAGGGTCTTACCACTGCATGACCATGATCTCTTTGTACCAGAGACCCATCAAAAATCGTTCTCAAATCATGCTTCCTCCCCTTCGAAAAGTCGCTGAACGTATATACCAATTGGACATCAAATAAATTCAGCCTTCCATGGCATCGCTTAATGACTGACTCTAATGTGAACACATTGGGGTCCCAGTATTCGCCAACATAAAATAACCTTTTCCCTTGAGATGTGGTCGTGTCAAGATGTGAGAGAAAGTCTGCAAGGAAAGAAAGAGAGTAGTGCTTTATGGCATCTAGACGGAAGCCGCCGAGATTGAGCAGGGAGGTGATCCAAGTTCCCCAATTGAGAATATCGGTTCGTACTGCGGAATGTGAATGGTCAAGATCTGCAAACATTCTGTTGAAAACTTGTCAGTGCGTTGATATCCCGGGCTTCAACAGCGTGAGAAATCTTGGCAGAGCACTTACAAATAATCATAATTTCCCAGCTCTTTACTGACATCATGTGCCCAGTCACTTCGCTTTCCTTCACCAATGAGTTTGAAGATGCCATGGTCTTTTCTGCGCGAATCATAGTCGATACCAGAAAAATGCTTCCAATTGTATTTCATATCAGAATACCTCGTGCCGCGACCAGGGAAAGTAAACTTCGTCCATGTTTCCAGCTCATATGGTTTTGAGATGGCCTTGGTGCGGTCTAAGGTGTATGAATCCGATTAATACTTGGTCGCCGCATTCAAGAGGGTGTCACTCACCATGGGAGTCTACCTTGACGCCCCAGCTCACTTCCTTTCCATCTGCTGAAGCTTTATGATTGAGAACGGCATCCCAGAGGACATCTATCTCTAGTTCTTTTGCCTTTGCACAAAATGCCTCTAGCTCCGCTTTATTTCCCCATTTCGTCCTTGAAGGCTTGCCATTCTTCTTTGCATCAAATTCACCTAGATCCCAAAGATCATAGATACCGTACCCGTTGTCGTGCACCGACGTGGCTTTGCAGCCTGGAGGAATCCAAATGTGTGAGATACCCAAGGTAGAGAGATGCGGAAGCAGAGCTGTCAGAATGCTGTAGTGGCTCGCATTGGGAAGTGCACTGTCGCTGGGCGGACTAGGCAGATACCACTCGAAGGCCTGGAACAGAGTCTTGTTTTCATCCGGCCTTGGGTCTTTGCGTTGTTAGCCCACGGTGCGAGAACTCGAATCGTCCAACTGGTGCCCTTCCGAAACCCTCACAGGTCTAAAAAGCCGGAAGTTGCAGAGTGGAAGGGATTGCTGGTTGCGCGGTTCGCTCTTGGTGTGCCTTACCTTCAGATTCGGCGACCTTTCCACTGCCGCTTATCGTCCTCACTAATGAGGACCAGCGATACATTGGCTTGTACCCAGGTTGGCTCTGTCAGAAGCGTTGTTGAGTGTTTGCTTTAATCGATTAAGGTTACTCCGTACTGAGGCTGACGGCCACCAGGTGGTGCTGATGAATACGAGTGTGACGTCACATTCCTGACTCAGTGCAAATAGCCGTTGAATATCCTCTCAATGAGCGGAGAGAAGGAACTAAAAAAGGAATGGGCAGGAAATCGAATAAAATATTGGCAAAGGTGAAGCAATAGAGACCAATGTATGGCATACTTGTTGAATGGAGAGAGTGAGACGTTGGAACTATTTGAGTTTTTCGAGGCTCTCCGGATTTACGCCAATCAGAGACCAGAGACGCGCAAGGCTGCCGGATCTACTTTGGCTCCACTAAAATTGCATCTGCCTTGATCTGCCCCTGAGTACCGGGTATTACCTTGTAAGTACTTATAAGTACAGACCAGTCAGACAGGAAGGAGATTTGACGGTCGGCAATCTGGGAGACATGGTAAGCCGGAAGAATCAGATAAGACATGAGCAAAGGCGATCACGAGGTGCCAAGTCTCCTTTTCCAACCCTTCTTCGATATCATATGATCCTCGAATGATGGTTCGGTACACTCGTGGTATTCAACGACACTACTGATCGACAATCTACCGTACTGTAAGCAATAAGGGACGACATGTCCTACGAAATCTTCGAAGCACTTCATGCTTACTCCACAACAAAAATGTCTATATTTACCACGTTGGCCCGGCGAGCGGGTCGAATTCATTTCGCTTTTTGACCACATATGCCCTAGCAGACCTCGGTGGCAGTGTATCTCACGCAGATCAAGATGAAGGCCTTTCTATTGCTGCCGCTATTGTTCGCCATCATCAGATGTGATGACCATACGGAGACTGAACACTCGGACGATGATCACTCTACTACATCTGTTGCGACACATACCTCAACAGCTTCCGTCTCCGTTACACCACACCATTCAGAGACTGATCATACATCAACAGGCTCTATGAGCACTTCAACCCATCACTCCACGTTAGAGCATGTCTCATCGACCTCAACCCATCATTCCGACTCTGAGCACTCTTCACCAACTCATACAGCAACTCCCACGCCTTTCTTGCTAGTAATACAAGATTTCTGAGTCTCGACATAGTAAGCCTACCAATCTAAAGCGACCATGAAACTTATAGCTGAGATTGTTCGTCGCTACGGAAGGGTCGAAGGGCCATAGATTGGGGAGCGGCGATTCCTCACGCCGTTTGCAAACTTGACTATATTCAGCTCTAGCTTTATTCCCTCCCTGGAAGTTCATTACTACTGCCATGCGGTGCCATCTGACATTTTGGGTTTCACACACATCTCGTGGGGTCCATCCTCCAATTAATAGTAATGCGAACCGGATAGGATGCCAAGTTTACCAGTCTCAGCCAGTAATGTTTACCCAGATCGGGTGTCGTCAATAGGCTTGGTCTTGCTCCGAGGGGCTGGATTTACAGTGCACTGTGATAAGAGCCCTGATATTCCGAGCATATCTTTGCGACTGTTGGTCATGGGTTAGCTACCTAATACAATCTCCGCTTCCTCTCGCGCAACGAGACTGTCTCACCTCTCCGGATCAGAAGAGATACCATCTCATCTCGCAAACGGCACTGGGTGAGCTGTGACTCATCATTCCATTTCAGAAATTCTTTACACATGTGAAACTGGATGTACTCGTTGGATCACCCTTGCCGTTGTACTTCGAGACAAGAGGATATAGACATAAGTTCTGATGTCGAATGGTTCCGTTGATCTTATACCCGCTCGAGCCTGAGAGGACTTCTGGAGCTGTTCCATTCTCGACCCACTTCCTCAAGGCCATCAGAGCGTCGTTTGGGATTGGACCGCTTCCTCCGCCACCGCAATGTCCCACGTCAGGAGCAAAGAAGACACGATAGAAGTCGGTGACATTCTGATCGATTGCCTTGACTCTGTCAAAATAATGCACAGTTCCATTTTGCATAATCAGGTTGTCAGCAAGGCCTTGCCAAGTGATCATCTTTCCGCCGGAGGCCATAAATGCGGCCAAGTTTGCATCCATAGTACCCATCGCGGAATCATATTCCACGTGAGATTGACGTATCAATCCCGGGAACTCGGCGCAGGTGATGTTCGAGGTATTGTAGATGGCATCTTTGAACAAGAAGTCGCGGAACCAACTGACAGAGATGCTAAATGGCTCTGCGACAATAGTGCCGTTGCTGAAGGTCTCTATGGGCGCAAGCGAGCTGAAATTGGTACCAGGGAGAATGCCATACTAGAGCGCGGTGTCATTTGCGGCTGTCGGTCCTTGCCAGATCTTCCTCACGACAGTTGCAGTCTTACTCGAAAAGCGCCCAGTTGTCCCATCTGTACGGCAGGCATAGTTCTTCCCAACAAGACTTGAGGGATCAAATTTGCAGAGGCCTGGAGCACCGATGATACCATCTTCGAGGCCGTCCAGATGGTCACAGGCAGAAACTGCAGCGGCGTTGACAGCGTCAAACTCACATTGCAGAGGGGCGTAGTGCTCGTTGTTCATCACGGTGTACGGCCACTGTTGGGCCGGAGTGAAGTCATTCTAGTTGATAGCAGGAGCTAAGGCGACAATGCCGTCATAGTCGTTGGGGAACATCTGTGCTTCCATAAGACCCTGTCGGCCGCCCGTCGAACAGCCCTGCCAATATGCATACTTTGGTGCAGATCCATAGAAGCTCGTGGTAACGGCTTTTCCTAGCACTGTCATCTCATGGACCAACCTAGACGCGAAGTCAAGAAGAATGTTCTCGTTGACATCACCTTCGCTGACCAGAGCCCACGATGTGGCATCTCCAGAGTTATTCTGAGCGTGACCTCCGTCAGTTGCCACGGCTGCATAGCAGCGTTCCACAGCAGGCGCCAACAATTGCCAGGATCCAGAAACATATCCACCGCCTCCCACGCCGAGAAAGATGCTATTCCACCCAGTCAAAGCAAGCCATACCTGATTGTTGACGTAATCACCGGTCCCGCGATGTGTCAGGCTAACATTTACTTGACAGAAGTCGAAACCCGTAATGTTTTGACCTGGCCAATTGTTCGATTCGCCGATGATATTGACAGCATAGCCATGAAATACCGGTGCCGTCAGAGAGGTAACGACAGCTCCCGGGACGTTTGGCTTGGGAAGGGAGTTGGCTGGGTGGCTGCACCTCCCAGTGCAGCCACCCAGCCAACGGCGCCAAAAGTGATCAAGAGATAGAGCATTTTAGGAGTTTGAAGAAGTCGAGGAATGTTGCGCGTTCCATTATAGACGCCAAAAGAGCTTAATAACTCTTATATGTGCTTGGAAACGCTTGATTTTGTGGAGACTGTGGTTTTGCTGGCATCTCAGGAGACTCGCCACCTCACAGCCTTAGGCGCCCTAAGTGCCGTGGATCCGCAAGCGGCTGCTAGTCGAACAAAGAAAATGCGGGGGAAATACAAATCCTGCTTTTCGACAACATCCCCTTAGCCGTGCAGTTCATATTCCAACTAATAAGAAATATTGAAAAATGCGAAATGAGGAGATACCGTGCCGAGATCGCCGTCTGCTTCGGCAGAAAGTTGTGTTGATACCACTGTTTCTTCCCGCTTTTCGTAGATCGCCCAGGAACTTTCCTGCAGAGTAGATGTCCCCTGTCCAAATAGCAGCGAGCAGCAAACAGCGACTCCCTCTATTGGCACAACTTGACAGTCTTGCGGGATTACCTCTCGTCGACAATCCAGAATAGCCAATGATTTGATAATGAGCAGTTCAGGAATGGGGGTCATGCTCATTTGACATTAATACTCCGGAGACTGTTTGAATTGAATCAATTTCTGCGAGACATTGTCAGCGTCCACTGACCGACAGTGACTAGTCGCAGATTCACCTCGCAATCGTGACCACTGACTAGGTTCGCATCCGTGTTCTTAATAATGTTTTTCATCATTTGACAGAGCGAACCTAATCATGGTGGTGATCTGTTCAAATGCCAAGCCTAGCCTTTGGGTTAGTGAAGCCGCATCATCATCGTGACATATACGTTGGGGCATGCTGCAGGTTGATCCTAGGTGCTGGAATCCCAGAAATCTTCATAATATGGTCTCCAGCAGAGATCTGTGTGCACATTTTCGGCTATATGCGCACGCTGTTGAAGTGTTCCGAGGAGATTTAGGGACGTCTCGACCTCAGTCCTCACGAGAGAAGCGACAAGTCGCACTTCAGTGCCAATCGTGAACCCAAATGCGCACATCAGACCTTTTGCATCGTACAAGGTAGCCGGCATGACCATAAGGGGAATTGCCTATGACGGCTTCTTTGACTCCTTTTGATGTTGTGCGCAATCTCAACCAGGGCATGGCAAGCTTTATAGCCAGAAGAATAGTCGAGCCTTCGAAGAAATCGTTCAGTGGAGGGCCCCAAACTTCCGGTTGGTCTGGTTCTGCCCTAGGTCTGAAAACTGTTCGGTTTCTCCGTGAGGTTTTGATGAACGTGGAGATCAGGATACCGCAGTTGCGAAAACTCTCTGTGTCTGGTTTCTTTTCTTATTCAAGACGCACTTGTTTTGAGACACGGAGACAGTCAAGTCCAGCATTATACTGCCTTGATCGTTTTGTCGCACATAGAAAAAGACGAACCTCTGTGGTTTGGGTGTTAGGACGAAGAACGGCTGCCATTCGCTGCATTTGACCAGCCAAATCTCCAAACTCTCTGGAGCGAGCAAGGGAGAACTTGGAGTCGATGACAGGAGATTCTAGAAGCCATGAATTGCAACACATGGTGCGAACCCAGCTTTCTCCAACGACCGGGGATTTTAGCAGGGTTTTCATCATTCATTGCCGCATAGAAACTTGCATGAATAGGCGCTTGTCCATGTGAGCTGTTTGTTTTGGAAATTGCAATTAAACTGGAAGTCCTGCAGATCGTTGTTGGCTAGTGCACGTCGATCGCCAACGTTCTTGGCCACCCACGGGGGCGAAAGTTTCGGAGGCGAGTTCTTCCACATCCTTACTTCTACCTCTGGCATGGAAGCAGTTAATACATTGCAGAACCTTTCTATAGAAGCAAGGTTGAGGTATGTCCTGATCGGCCAAACCGTTCGCGCTCAGGAGGCTGTCGGACTCTGCTCAACACAGGAGCAAATCTCTAACGAACATGAGTGCTTCAGATCCGCTTAAGGACGATGCACCGCTTGTGTGTCGCATGTATATCCGATGTACAATAACCGACGGTGCTTCGTCCTCGCAGGAACCCCGTAGATGAGAGCATAGCTTTTGAGAGTGTCCATGGGCAAATGCAGTGCGTTTGGCACCTATTTGAACCGCTTCCAGGGTAGTGGACACTCGGCTGCAAGGACACCAGGCAGAGAAGGATCGAAGAGGACAAGAACTTTGGAGAGGGACCGTTGTGGGCCTCGCCGATAGAGGATTCCTGATGTTGAGCGATTGATCATTTTATCGGTATCGATATCGATAGGGATACTCACGGATTCAATAAACTTATCACGGAACCCTACGATATTGTTTCTAACAACAAACACGTCGTCTGGCGCAGCGTGTGAGCTCAACTCCTCGAGCGTAGAAATGTCGGGGTCGAGGCGGTCATCGGGAGAGGCGTCAAGCTCCTCTAAGTAAATCACACGAGCTTGGTTCTATTGGAATAGCCATGGGCTAAGATGGCTGACATAATTTCACCTATATGTGACCAGCTTGGCGCACAGCCGTTGGAATGGACATCTTGCAGGTGTTGAGCTTAACCAACTTGCTTCGTGGTGAGGAAAGATACGCGATCGGAATACTTTCGGGAGAAGGGAAGCAGACGTTCTGCACGTCGAGGACGTTTCAACCGAAACGTGACCTCTTGGCAGTCCGGAGCTCAAGTTGACATCTCGGGGGGCTGGTGCGGCGCCGGTAAACCGGAGGATTCTCGTCTCTTACTCAAGCTGGAAGCTCACAAAGCAATTACTTCCGTAACACCTCTACAGCAGCTTTTTCTTGCACCGTGTTTCTCCCCTCTCCTCGTCCTCCTTGCTCTCTTGCATTTCAATAAGGAAGGAGTAACAGCACCCCTTTAGCTACGCGTCCGCTTCTCGACCTTGGTCAGGTCCCCTTCTCTGACCTTCCTAGCCAACATGGCACCCATCACCGATCAACATGTCGAGGACCTGAAAGACCTTGTTCATAAGCTCGAAGCTCGGGTCTGGTCTCTGGAGCGAAGACTAGAGGGCGAAAAGAAGCCTTCACTCACAGATTCTATGCGCATGATCCTAATCGGCCCTCCAGGTGCAGGTAAGTTTTGATATTAACCGCCATGCTGCGCGTTTGACTGACACGTACTTCCTAGGCAAGGGGACTCAAGCTCCTCGAATCAAAGAAAAATATTGTGTGTGTCATCTGGTATACTCGTATCCTTACCCCGCCCTCGGACCAGAAATTTATAGTCCTCACAGGCCACCGGTGATATGCTCCGAGCACAAGTTGCCAAAAAGACTCCCTTGGGAAGAGAGGCCAAGAAGATCATGGATCAAGGCGGCCTAGTCAGCGACGACATTATGATCAACATGATCAAGAACGAGTTGGACACGAACAGAGAATGCGCTAACGGGTAAAACTCTATGCAATGGATGTCGTGTCCACCACTAACATCGCCAGCTTCATCCTCGATGGATTCCCCAGAACGGTCGCCCAAGCCGAGGGCCTCGACTCCATGCTTCAAGCCGAGAACAAACCTCTCAAGCACGCGATCGAACTGCAAATCGACGACGGTCTGCTGGTTTCCCGCATCACTGGTCGACTGATCCACCCAGCCTCGGGTCGAACGTATCACAAAGTGTTCAATCCACCCAAGGAACCCATGAAGGACGATGTCACTGGGGAGCCTCTTATCCAAAGAACCGATGATAATGCCGAGACTCTGAAGAAGAGATTGGGAACATATCATGCACAGACGACCCCTGTGGTGGCCTACTACAAGAACAAGGGCATCTGGTCTGGGATCGACGCCAGCCAAGACCCTGAGCATGTCTGGAAGAGCATTCTCTCCGTTTTCGGCGAGTCAAAGGCTGCATCCAACAGCAGAATCCTGAACAAGATTGGTTTGCGGTAGATGTGGGCGCAGGAGACAAGCAGAGTGACCTCCTTGCATTTGCCCTTGGAGCAAGCACCGAATCGGCGGCTGGAATGACCTTATCAAGAGACTCCGAAAAAGATTCATGCCATCTTTGCAAATGTGTACAAGTTACGGGAACTGGGTGTCCAACATCCCCTGGAAAATGGTGAGTCGCATGCGGAAAAGGGTTCTGACTTCGAGTACATATCTCGCGTCTGCGCGAGACGAATACAAGACTTAATTGGCACAAGCGAGCAACGCGCTCCCTTCCTTTATCTCCGTCATCTCAGACTTCAATATGAGGAATCTTACCCGCTTAACCATCAACCACTAACTGAAAAGGATGGCGAAAATTATTCAGCAAACCCATAGACACAGCATGAACAGGTCGGGACGAGACCCGACAACACCGAAAACACATGGGATTGACTATCTAACCATTTCATGGAAAGCAATGCACGACATCCCATCGGCTATGAGGGATGGGCGCCGATCTTGATATCAGGCTGAATCGTCGGGCGGCTTACCGGGGCTGTCAATCCGCTGCAAAGGCGTGCCCCGCGGGTCAGGTAATATGGCTTTCCCCACGAGATTCCATCAATGGATACACTTCCTTAATATTTCCTTGAATTTCCCATACCCCTATTTATCCTTTTCTCCGTTTTTGCAGGAACTCACAGTGCAGGTTCTAGCTACCATGTCGTCGCCGAAAGAAATTCGCTGGGGCATCATGGGTATGTTTCACACAAGAAAGTCCATATCTCATTGAAATTAATAACGACCCTGCAGCCACTGGTTGGATTGCCCAAACCTTCGTCAAAGACCTTCTCGTTGACCCGTCCACACGTAACGTCAAGGACATCCGCCACGTCGTTACCGCAGTCGCATCCTCCTCGTCCCTGTCCTCCGCAGAAAAGTTCGTTTCCAACTTTGTTTCCGCTTCTCAGTCCACAAAATGCACGCCCTACGGCTCCTACGAAGAACTCGTGAAAGACACATCCGTGGACATCATCTACATTGGCTCGCCACATTCTCACCACTACCAAAATTCCATGCTCTGTCTTGCCCACAATAAGCCTGTCCTCTGCGAGAAAGCCCTCACTGTCAACGCCGCGCAAGCTAAGGTTCTATACAAGACTGCGAAAGAGAAGCACCTTTTCTTTATGGAAGCTGTTTGGACCCGCTATTTCCCGCTCAGCCAGATGATCAGGAAACACATTATGGATAATGACATCGGCGAGGTAGTACGCGTCATTTCGGATTTGAGCATTGGTGCTGTACCTGAGAAGGATTTTGACCTGGGTCACCGCATGGTGAACCTTGAATTAGCGGGCGGGGCTCTCCTCGACCTAGGTATTTATGCTCTCACATGGGTTTTCCAAACGATGTATCACACACTACCTCCCCAACTCAGACAACAATCTCGCCCCAAAGTAATTGGGGCAGCAATGACTCCCGAACCTCGTACTGGCGCCGACGAGTCTACACTGATACTTCTGGAATTTCCCAAATCAACTCCGGCAGGGAAGACGAAAGCCCACGCCGTGGCCACTACGGCTATGCGTGTCAGCGACGATCCCGCACGAGGACATGAGAGCAAATGCGACGTGGAAACTCCTGCGGTACGCATACAAGGCGAAAGGGGCGAGATCCAGGTATATGGCCCGATATATAGGCCGATACGGTATCGTCTGGTGCCGAAGGACAAAACAGCGGAGATTCTTGATCGGAAATTTGAGTTTCCCGGCGGTTGCCACGGTATGATGGTATGTGTTTGAACCGTTGCCATATCAGAGGTTTCATTGCATGCTGTATTGGGTGATTCGTGGCATCTGCTGACATCTACACGACGCACAACAGTATGAAGCCGACGCCGCTGCCCGCTGCCTAGTTGCCGGGGAACTGGAATCGGAAACCTTACCGTGGGCGGAATCCACGCTTATAATGGAGACTATGGACGAGACGAGGAAGCAAGGCGGGTTGGTATATCCAGCTGCGATCGAGACTACGGAGTACCCTGTGAAATTGACTGCCAAGGTGTAAAGGTGACACAGATGCGGCGAGGCAAACAATTACTGAAAAGCGTCGCAGGTCCACTCCGTTTGGTGATCGGATTCTCTCGCAGCAAGATATCCAAGATAAATACCCTACCTAGCCAAAGACCAGACAATCTAGCGCCGTGATCACGTCGTATCCTCAACGACTATCATCTATCCTGCAGGTGTCCGAGCAAGTCATCTTGTCTGGAAGGGGCTCCTCAGGATCATATGGTGGATTGCAGTTTCACGGGTGTCCTTCCTCTTCGTTATCCCCACTCTACCAGGCATCCGCTTCTTCAAAGCCACGGAGTAAAACCCATCCTTGAGCTCATGCATGCATCTCATCCTTCCTCCAACTTCCTTCTCCGAAATTACGGCGCTCGCCGCTGCCCAAGCCCTGTTCTTTAATGACTTTTCTGTCAGAACCCCTGGCTCGATTGACTCTTACATTACCGCCCCAACTTCCCTCTTTGCCGTCCAGCGCTGCAATCACTAGATCGACATCCTCCGCCCTTTCGAGATCGACAAAACAGTAATACTGATTGCCTGGCTGTTCGGGCTTGGGAGGACGTGGCGATATCTGCTTTGACACCGCGGTTGGCGCAATATCTGGTACGTACTGGGCGAAGAGACCTCGCACTTCTTCATCATGTGCTGATTGTGGTTCGATCCTGGGCATATTGCCGATGTAGAGCCGTCGCCCTTCGGACTGGGGTGCTGTCCAGTGAGAAGTGGCGTCGGTACGGTTCCAGCGGTCGAAGGTTGGGTTGTATTCAGTATCTAAAAGGCCGGATCCGTCAGGTTATGGAACGTCGATCTCATGGGAGGTAAGTGGTCAAGAAGCAAAGCCACGATGAGGAGCCCCTGCAATAAGATGGTGTTCGAGTTTGCTTACCTTTCTGCTCCCTCGATTCGCGTGACCGTCCCCAGCCTCGCTCAAAGTCTTTCACTCTAACCTCTCTCCCACCCCCGCCACCACCGGCATTGCTTTGACCTTGACCCTGTCTCTTAGCCACGCCGGGGCTAACTCTAACAGGCCTTCCGAGAACATCCATGCCGTTCAATTCACTCATTGCTCTCTGGGCTTCTTCTGGGCTTTCCACGTCTACGAAGCAGTAACTCGGGTTCCGCCCTGTGAAGGGATCCGTGGACATACTTATGCCGACGACATTAAATCCATTCTTGGTGAACAGCTCCTCTATGTCAGAGCGTTGAGCTGTGTAGAGTAGATTGCCGATGTAAAGTCTCATTCCGGGCGCTTCTTCAGTCCCTTGGGCGGCGGTATAGCTATTGCTATTGTTCGAGTATGATACAGAACTGGCATTGTGGTGCCCATTCTGAGAACGATTAGGCCGCCCCCGAGAATGCTGTTGTTCCACCCGCGGTGTCTCGTCTCTCACGCGCCAGTTAGTTGAAGCGGTGGAGCGGAAGTTCTGCTGCTGTCGAGGCGGTGGTGTCGAGGTGTCCTCCATACCTGTGGAGAGAATGGAGGAAGGCTTTGCGAACCAAGATATCTCCCTAGGCAGATCGGTGAGGGTTTGTCGAGAACGAAAGCTAGGGGGGAGTGAGTTTTATTAGCTCGCCTGTGACAAGGCTGCCAAATCCAGGCAGACCACACAGCATGAAATTGATTTTTCGGGGGGTTTTTCGATGCCAAGAAATAAATTAGGTAACTTTCGCACGCTCCAGTCTTGCCTTTTCAAGCATAGGTCTATCAAATACGCCTCGAATGAAATACGTCCCCCAATCCGTTTTGAAAAATGAACACCCGGGAGCTGAGAGCGCGGTTTTCAATTTCATGGGGATCATATACGTGAGATTGCGCTCGAGTCAAAATGCACAGCGGAGAATGACCCAAAGCCTTATGCAAGGCGAGAACTTCCTTTGGGCTCTGCCCAACGTCCAATGCCTCTCGTCGGGGACTTATAAACATGTCCAATTACATTCGGTTTACTTCCATTCGCATTTGATCTTCGAATGGCTCCCCTTTAGATGCAGATATCCAGCTGCACTATGCGCATACTGCGTCTCAACGCTGCTGCATCGCTTTATCCAACCCATCCAGTAGAATAAACCCAGGTAAACCTTGTATTCTTTCTATCCATGCCTTGACAGCAGGATATGGGTCTAGCGAGATATCGCCCATATGTGCCAGGGCAACATAGACAAATACCGACACGTCCGCAACCGTCGGCCTCGCCAAAGCCAACCATTGCTCGTTCTCGAGCCTCTTCTCTAGAATCTCAAGTGACTTCAGGCCTCTATTTTTCGCTTCCGTAAGAGTCTCCTCGCTGGCGTCAGCAGGCCAGTTGAACGACACAATCGCCCTGGCTTTTGAAAGTCCGAATTGAATCCAGCTGGCCGTGAAAGCGAGCCAGTCCACGATAGATGCCTGCTCGACCGCATCGGAAGACCAATAACTCGACGGAACCGTCTTGGAACCTGGGTCAGGGTTGGTCCCAGCGAGATATACGAGAATTGCGCTCGAATCGTTGAAAACTTTCCCCTCATCGACGAGAGTCGGTAGCTCGCCGCGGGGATTAATGGCCAGAAACTCCGGTGAGCGGTGTTGCATGTTGAAAAAGTCCACCTCAACTTGGTCAAGTTGGAGATCGAGGAAACTGGCCAGTAGTCGCACTTTGTAGCAGTTCCCAGACTCTTTGGTGCAGTAGAGTTTCGGAGCCATGTTGCATGGCCTGAGTCTAAGTATCCCGCTCAAAGTCTCAAGAAAGATGGATTTGTTAGATATGATTGTGTCCGTCCTGGGGGATGCGAGGAGGTGGGCGGCAGTTCTAGAGTCTTTTTACCATGCTCTCTCGTCTTACTATTGAGAAGCGGGAGATCCTCGGACAGGCTTGGCTTGGAGCATCAATCCCGGACAAATCCACTTGCTGACCTCCACACGGTTCGACGGCTCCTGGACAGCGTAGCCAACGGAACCGAGCAGAATGCTCAGTCAAGAATACTCGACCAATTCAGCCTTATGAAAGGACCTATATAAGTTGGGGGAAGCGGAGTATAGGACTCCAGAAATCGATTTAGGTAAGCCCTGTTGACTGCCCCCGGGCCCTAGCGCATCTCGACAAAAGCTGATGAGGCGAAGGCACGAATTGTGGAAGGACTACACACCGTACCGACGTAAATACGCTAGATCATACATTGGCAGACATGAGCAATCGTCACTGACAAGTTTCACGTATCATTCCCCCTTCCCTGTGCGATAGTGGTATTTCATGATGGCTTACGGTAAATGGGATAGCCGCAAGGATTCTACGCAATCTCGTGGGATCACGAAAACAGGACCGACTTTCGGGCCCAGGAAAATGATGTCCTTCGCCGCAAACTCAGTCCCTCTAGTTCCAGTCCTTGGTCAGAAGAACCCAGCCAGTCTAAAGGGAAGTCTAAGAAACTGGTTCAACAAGCGCGCACTCCCGTTCCAAGCAATAAACATCTCCTCCATCTCACCGTCCTCGTCCACGAAGACCAAGGTACATCTCACTGCCGCGGCCAATCGACATCAGGCAGCAACACGATCCACAATCCAGCACGGCCAAGAGACATACCCAGAGGGAAGTAATCAGCGCAAATTGAAACAGAGGGAGCAAAGTCGGAGGGGCGCACTCGAGGGGTAACTGTGGTCTTCTCACTGGAAACAATGCTCGCTCAATACGATATACGTCGGAAAGCAGCAGCATTCCGAGAAGAGGTCTGGTCCGTGTGATTCACACTCAACTTGACACAAGCGTCTTTTCAACCGTGCGCTATAGTTCAAGTCTGCCCGTCGGAGAGATGTTGACCGAGCCCCCACGCTTTGTGATTGGCTCGTTCGTACGAAAGTACAGGTGCACCACTCTTTCTCCGTCATGCCCAGGCTCAAACTGCGGTATCGAACTTCGACGGGGAGTATATAAAGAGGCATGGCAATCGCATTCGATGCATCTCCTCGTGGAGTTTGTCACGTCGGCGGTTACTTTCAGGATATCATGACTTCATCGGCAATGCCATCGGTTCCGACTCGAGGGGGAGACGTAGCTTACCATGTGAAAGGGAATGGCCAGCCAATAGTCCTACTACATGCAACGCTCCACGACAGCCGAGATTACGAGGTTATTGTCGACCGTCTAGCAGAGAAATACCGAACAATCAGCGTGGACTGGCCATGGCATGGTGACTCCAAAGGCACACCAAGCAAAGAGAGACTTAGCGCTGTTGGATTTGCCGACGTCCTGGAGGACGTTGTTGAGGGCTTGAAGCTCGAACCGGCTATCTTTATCGGCAATTCAGTTGGAGGGTTCGCTGCAGCAAGACTGGCCATCACTCAGCCCGACAAAGTTCGAGGACTGGTGCTTGTTAACGCCGGCGGATTTGTCACATGGACTCCCTTCACCCGGCTTGTGGCCCGACTGCTGGGATTTGCATCAATATCACGTCTCGTGATGCCTCATCTTGTGGGCAGGTATATGAGTCCTCAGACAAGTCATGACGAGGACATCACCCGCAGAGTGACCACCAGAGCAAGAACTGAGGAAGGCGCATCAGTTGCTGCTGCTCTCTGGCGCAGCTTTTTGGATCCCGGCCATGATCTTCGATCTCGAGCAGAGAGTATCAAAGCTCCCGTGTTGCTTGTTTGGGGCACACGAGACCCGGTCTTTTCGAGGACAGCGGCTGAAGAAACTAAGCTACGCATAGCTGGTGCAAAGCTAGAGTTTTTGGACGCAGGGCACGTAGTGTTCTCCTCGATGCCAACTGAGTTTCAACGACTTGTGCAGCCATTCATCGAGTCAATTGTCGATGAGTGAGAGCTGTTGAGGATGAGTCTGAGTGTATCTCACTGCGGGAAGTGCAGGGGGAAGGTGCCACCGCCTTCCGAAGCGTCATGCAAGCTCCACCAAACCGTCGGGATGATCGAGGCTCCCAACCCAGGCCTTGATGGTCTCTGCAAAAGGCTTCAGGAACCGCAAGCATCAAAGCATGAGCTAGGCCTCGTACCATTGCAGCTTTACTCTCTCGAATCTTTCTCTTGAGCTAACTTTCCTTTCTTTTGTTGGGTCCACATTATCTAGTGCTGACACAGCAACGATCAAAGTTGAGACTGTTATCGACTTCATGTCTTCCATAGTAAAATTCAATATCACAGCGTATCCCTGTTTCAATATGTTAAGATTAAAATTCTTCTGTTTCATTGCGCAGACCATCATGGCGCTAAAGGCCCATCCAGGACCATATTTGCCAGTGAAGCCAATCGGGGTAAACTTGTTGAACGAAGCTAGGCAATGCGCTATGAAGAGTACCAAAGGTCGTTCAGTCGGTCATCTCCGCCAGCCATCTAAGGGAACAGTGCCAGTAAGGAACAATGAGTCTGCCAGCTCAGCGCAGCACCTAGCCACTTCTTGCGCAACAAAAGTCCCGGGTAAGTCCAACATATGGGCCTGGCTGTTTCGGGCTTGCTTTTTGATCGATTCTGCACCGGTTTCTGCCCCCCGCAGACCCAACCTCGAAGGGCGGAACTGCAGAAGATTGGGAGTGACGAGGTAGATTCATGAGCATAAGATGATGGCGGGGGAAGGATGGCATCACATTCGCGTACTCCACATGACTTACGAACAGTGCATGCAAGAAGACAATGGTCACCTTGCCATAGCCTTGGTTCAAATGAAGACATAATAGCCGGTTGCGCCTTAACACCTTAATGGCACCTTGGCCTAAACAGATTCTTTTGCGAAGATGGGAGTCGAGGTCTGATTAAACTTGCAGGCTGACGCTAAAGGAATCCGGGAAAACCACGGCCATAAAAAAGACAGATGGCGGCGAGGCAGGTAGGGCCCCCTAGCCACCAGGGCTCCATATGTCAACCAAGCTGGGTCTCTTCTTCCCCTCCTCTTTTCTCACTGTCAGCTGGAGGCGTTTCTTCTCTATCCCCTAGACACGAAACCAAACATGGCACCTGCTGCCCTGATCGACCACTCTCCCTACCAGCCTACGCCTGCAAAAAAGCTGCCCTCCGCAAACAATCTCGTCCTCATCGATAATTATGACTCATTCACCTGGAACGTCTATCAGTACCTCGTCCTTGAAGGCGCCACCGTCACAGTCTACCGAAACGATAAAGTCACACTTGAAGAGCTTGTTGCCAAAAAGCCGACACAATTGGTCATCAGCCCTGGACCAGGCCACCCTGACACGGACGCGGGCATAAGTAAAGATGCCATTAAATACTTTGCAGGGAAGATTCCAATTCTGGGGGTGTGTATGGGGCAACAGTGCATCATCTCGGCGTTTGGTGGCGAAGTTGATGTTACTGGAGAGATCCTCCATGGAAAGACCTCGCCCTTGAGGCATGATGGCAAAGGATGCTACACTACGTTGGTACAAGATTTGCCCGTGACGAGATACCATTCGCTCGCAGGGACACATCCGACTCTTCCACATTCACTCGAAGTGTCTTCTTGGATAGATAAAGGGCCAGATGGGG